GGATGCAATGAAAGCCGTTCTGAGAGGAAAATTTATTGCACTGAGTTCCCACATCAGGAAAACAGAACGAATACAAATAAATAACTTGATGCTACACCTCAAACAGCTAGAAAAAGAAGAGCAAGTCAAGCCCAAAGCCAAAAGAAGAGAGGAAATTATAAAAATCAGAGCAGAAATCAATGCAATAGAGATTAAGAAAACAATCCAAAGAATCAACGAATCAAAGAGTTGGTTCTTTGAAAGAATAAATAAAATCGATAAGCCCCTAGCCAACCTTATTTTAAAAAGGGAAGAAAAAGCTCAAATTCATGCAATAAGAAATGAAAAAGGAGAAATCACTACAGACCCAATAGAAATACAGAGGATCATCAACACCTATTTCGAAAACCTCTACTCTCAAAAGTTTGATAACACAGAAGAAATAGACAGATTCTTAGAAGCATATGAAGTACCAAAGCTAGATCAAGAGGATATAAAACTGTTGAATAACCCAATCTCTGCTAATGAACTTGAAAATGTAATTAAGGCCTTACCCACCAAGAAGAGCCCAGGCCCAGATGGATTCACTGCAGAATTCTACAAGAAATATAAAGAAGACCTAATGCCGACACTCCTCAAACTATTCAATGAAATTGAAAGGGAAGCAATCCTTCCTAAGTCATTCCTGGAAGCAAATATTACTCTAGTACCAAAACCTGAGAAAGACCCAACTATAAAAGAAAACTGTAGACCGATCTCCCTAATGAACACAGATGCAAAAATCCTCAATAAGATATTGGCAAATAGGATCCAGCAAATCATCAAGAAGATTATACACCATGACCAAGTGGGATTCATCCCAGGAATGCAAGGATGGTTCAACATACGCAAATCAATAAATGTAATCCACCATATCAATGAAGCCAAAAATAAGAATCACATGATCATTTCTATAGATGCAGAAAAAGCCTTCAATAAGGTCCAACACTTATTCATGATAAGAACTTTACAGAAAATTGGAATAAATGGTCTTTACCTCAATATAATAAAGGCCATTTATGACAAACCAACAGCCAGCATCATACTAAATGGCCAAAAATTGAAAGCCTTTACTTTAAAATCGGGCACAAGACAAGGATGTCCTTTATCACCACTCCTATTTAATATAGTACTGGAAGTACTAGCCAGAGCAATTAGGCAAGAAAGAGAAATAAAAGGGGTAAAGATAGGAAAAGAAAAAGTTAAATTATCATTGTTTGCAGATGACATGATACTCTACATAGAAGACCCCCTAAACTCCATTGAAATACTCTTAGATACAATAAATAAATTCAGTAATGTGGCTGGATACAAAATCAATACTCAGAAATCAATAGCATTCCTATACACGAACAACAAAATTACAGAGAGGGAATTAAGAGAAACTGGACTATTCACATTAGCAAGCAAAAAAATGAAATATTTAGGAATTACTCTTACAAAAGAAGTGAAAGACTTATACAGTGAAAATTATAATACACTGAAAAAGGAAATTGAAGATGATCTCAGAAAATGGAAAGACATCCCTTGCTCATGGATAGGAAAAACAAACATTGTGAAAATGGCCATTCTCCCAAAACTGTTATACAGATTCAATGCAATCCCAATAGAAATACCATCAACATACCTTATAGATCTAGAGAAATCACTCCTAAATTTCATCTGGAACCAGAAGAGACCTAGAATCGCAAAGGCAATTCTAAGCAGCAAAGACAAAGCAGGAGGCATCACAATCCCTGACTTGAAGTTATACTACAAAGCAACAGTAGTAAAATCAACATGGTATTGGAATCAAAACAGAGCTGAAGATCAGTGGAATAGATTAGAAGATACAACCACAACTACGAACACACTCAACCACCTTATCTTTGATAAAGGAGCCAAGCAGGTTCACTGGAAGAACGACAGTCTCTTTAATAAATGGTGCTGGAAAAACTGGCTCTCCATTTGCCGAAAACTAAAGCTAGACCCATGTCTATCACCATGTACTAAATTAAAATCTAAATGGGTCAAAGATCTGAATATTAAAACAGAAACACTAAATCTATTGGAAGACAAATTAGGTAGAAACCTTGGAGACATAGGAGTAGGTAAAGAATTCATGAACAGGACTCAAACCGCACGGGAAATACTTCCCAGAATCAATAACTGGGACCACTTCTTATTAAAAAGTTTCTGCATGTCAAAAGAAATCTCCAGCATAGTGAAAAGAAAACCCACAAACTGGGAAAAGATTTTAGTGAACTCTCTCTCAGACAAGGGCCTCTTGTCTAAAACATATAAAGAATTAAAGAAACTCAGACCTCCAAAATTCAAAGATCCAATCCAAAAATGGGCATCTGAGATGAATACGCACTTCTCAGATGAAGAAATGCAAATGGCAAATAAATACATGAAAAAATGCTCATCATCATTGGTCATTAGAGAAATGCAAATTAAAACCACACTGAGATACCATCTCACTCCTGAAAGAATGGCCAGGATCAAGAAAACCGACAACAAATGCTGGAGAGGCTGTGGGGAAAAAGGAACTCTCCTGCACTGCTGGTGGGAGTGTAGACTGGTAAAGCCTTTGTGGAGATCTGTCTGGAGATTTCTCAAAAAGTTGGGACTGGAAATCCCATTTATTCCAGCTATTCCACTTCTAGGCATATTCCCAGAAGAACTGAAAGCATCATACCACAGTGATATATGTGCACCTATGTTTATAGCAGCACAATTTGTAATCGCCAGATCTTGGAAACAACCCAAGTGTCCATCAACTGAGGAATGGATAAAAAAGTTGTGGTATTTCTATACAATGGAGTATTATTCAGCTATAAAGAAGGATCACATTGAGGTATTTATCAATAAATGGGCGCAGCTTGAGACCATACTCATAAGTGAAATAAATCAATCTCGCATGTGTGAATACCGAATAGTTTCCCTAATGTAAGTAATGATTCAAATATATAAAAATATGTGGTAATCATGATTCCCCATTAGGTGGCCTTGGAGCCTTATAAAGTTTTCACTCATTAATTAGAAAGGCTTTATTCTGGGCTTCTTGATATGAAAATATTTGAAGCTAGAGTATATGAAGTTTTATCCAAATATTTCAAGGAAAAAGACACTATGGTAACTACTATTAAGTCAGGTTATATGGTGGTGAAGTACTAGGTTGTTGAAACAGTCATGCTGTGACCTCTATTGTTATATTGTTATGTCCTGTTTTATCTCAGTCTCCCCCTTATTGTTTTAAAAAAATTATTTAGTCATTTCTTATGTTTGTCTTAATTAAAGAAAAAATTCAAAAAATTAGGATATATAAATAGTAACTCTTTTTGATTTCCTATTAACTTGTTTTGAAGTCCTGTAGTACTCCCACGATCTTGTTTTGACTGATTAGACTCTGTTCCATTCTATATGATAGTATCAAGTTTGAAGACATAGGCAACTACTTTGAAGACAATAAGATTCACTAAGATACCCATTCTGGTTTGACTATTGTCTTCTTTGGAAGTCCTGTAATGTTTACAATGCCTAAGTTTTATTGGTCTTGTTCTCTACTGTTTTGTCCAACTTTATAATATCTAATGAGATAGACAATTCTTTTTAAGGAAACAAGGGACAACGTTGATAACCATTGTTGATAAACTTGTACTCTGTTCTACACCTTGTGCTATGTCTATCCTTGGTATTGACTGACAGCTTTGTTTTGCCATATTTGACTGTATTCTTTCCCCCCCCCCCCAAAAAAAGTAATAAGCACTAAGGAGTAATAAAATCCAAAATGCGTAAATTTTGTTGTAAAAAAGAGAGGGGAAAAAAAAAAGAAAAAGAGCTCTAACGGATATAACAGCAAGTGTGTTTAGGAGTGTTAAATAGCTGACTATATCGATGTTTTTGGATCATTGAACACAGCTGTTTGCAGTCTCCCTGTTTGAATGTCCACCTTGTATTCTTTGATACTGTGATTTGAGGAACTATTTTCAAGATGATAATATGTAATCTACTAATAGGTGATTTCTTACTGTCATGTTTTTTTTTGTTTGTTTGTTTTGGTTTTTTTTTGTTTTGTTTTGTTTTTTTGTAGTTCTGTATTACGTGTACCCTTACACCGCTTTGGTTTGTTTTGTGCTTTTCTCTTTTTCCTCTTAAATTAAAAAAAAAAAAAAAAAAAGTGAATCGGTAATAAGATCCAAAATGTATAATAGATTGTTGTAATGATGGAAGGGAAAGAAAGTGCTCAAAAGGAAAGAACAACTAGGTGTACACATATAACTTATGTATGTTTAAGTGTGCAAGGTAGATAACCATACTAATAAGTTTTTGTTAGTGCATCAAACAGAATAGTTTGTGCTGTCATTGTTTGACTGTCTGTTCATTTTTTATGCTTTGACTTTGTAACTTGAACAACTACTTCTAAGATAACAATAAGTAACATATCAACTACTGATGATTTCTTATTGGTATTTTTTGAAATTCTGTATCATTTCTAGTCTTTTTTTCTGTTTTGCTTATTTTTTAATTAAAAAAAAGAAAAAAATGAAATAGCATCTCTATGAGAACTCATGAAGGAAGACAAACATGCCAGGGTAAAAACTGATAAAGCATTATCCAACATAATATCAAGAAGTGAATGATATTAGAACTTTTCAAAAATGTTCACCTGACAGAAAAATTGACTATAAGCCCAACACATTACTTAATAAACTCTCAGGGGAAGGTGACCACACCTAGGCAATAAAATAGACACAGGCTCAACTTAGACACATTCATGCATGCACACTCAAGTAGGATAAGAACAAGAAACATCATGAACAAAAAAAGCACTGCAAAATGAAGAATAATCCGGGCACCACAGTGGCCAAAGGCATTTCAGAGGGGTGGAATCCAAAGTACTTCTACACAAAGATCAAACAGCACTCTCAGAGATCTTTTCTCTTCTCTTCCAGGATTCTGTGAATAAAAGACCAGCTGGATGAAAAAGTTAACCATACCTGCCGATGTAAAGTAATCCACAGCCTGATGTGCAGGGCCATGGAAAACTAGTTTTCCTGAGGTCAGTAAGGTGAGGCTATCAAACAGCTTGAAAATGGAATACTGTGGCTGATGAATGGAGAAGATGATTGTTCGCCCCTGCATGGCCATCCTAAGTTAAGAGAGGGAAAAGAAGAGGTCATTAAACATCTGAACTTTGCATTTTCTGATAAAATACTCTATTCCTACCACTAGCCTGTTTATTTCCAATTGAACTTGATTTTCTTTTACAAACTTCTTCTCTTACTTTATATTATCTATTTGATAGTTGAGGAATCTAAATATAATGCCTTTATTTAAAAAGACTAGAGCTCCTTAAAAGATGGTACTTTTAAGGAGTCTAGAGTCTAGAATGCACTAAAAGGTTTATTGGAAATGTAGGTCCTTGGATAGTCTTCTCAGACACTGAATTAGAATTTCTAGGGGTAAGTGCAACACTCCAAGAAATCTGTAACTACATCCGAGTTTGATAACTCATTATGGGCTAACATTAAAACAATGCTGTTTTTTTTTTTTTTCGGTTTGCACTGATCATTTCAGTGTTCTTGGCTTTAGGATTGATTTTTGTTTTTGTGCTATGGTAATACAATTAATATCATTAAGCACTAAGTCTTTGTGAAATTTTTTGGAGAAAACTACACTGTAATTTTTACAAAGTTGTTATACAGTAGTTCCTATATTATTTTCTTCTTTTTACATGTAAGTCTTTTTTTATTTTTTATTTTTTTTGTCTTTTTCCTTTTTATCAGTACCAGGGATCGAACCACGACTGCCTGCTTGCAAGGCAGGCACTTATGCCGCTGAGCTAAATCCACAGCCCCTACATGTAAGTCTTAAAAGGCAACCAACTAACCAAGAAGGCACAGCTACCAAGATATAAGGTTGTGATTTGATCCTTGGTCAACATCCATGTCAGAAACAACGCTAAACTACCTTTCCACCGGAGTTATTATCAGTGGGTAGAGGAAACAAAGGTCAAAAATTCCTGTTTAAAACTGTGATTAAAGATATTTTATCAGAATTACTTGTAGCATTTGATAAATACTTACTATATGTTTTCAGTGTTTGTGTCTAAAGGGATCAGGCAGGAAAACCAAGAATTTCAGAGGCAAAAGCTAAGAGTTAGTTGCTTGTAAGCTAACAGGAGTCTTGTAACCCAGTCTGAAGATATGAGTATCAAATGGCTCCAAAGAAGCATGCTAAGAGAAAATCCTAAAATAGAATAATAAAGTGCAAAATTCAAAGGTTTAGTTGAAAAACACGAGTTCAATGTTACACAACAAAGAGTGTGTGTGTGTGAGTGTGAGCATGTGTTTGTCGGTGTTGGATGAAAAAGATTAAGAGACTGCAGCAAAGACGACCTATGATACACCTTCCCTCAGAAATGAGATTCCTGGCCACCAGGCAATAGGAGCCAGTAAAAGATGAAAAGCTGAGAGCCCTGATACTCAAAGTATGGTCTGCAGATCAGCGACTTCAGGTGAGTATCTCTTCTAAGAGAATAGGAATGAAGAATATTGCACTCCACCTCAGACCTACGGAAACTAAATTTGCATGTTAACTAGACGCCAGGAGGTAAGCATGCATAATAACTCTTGACAAGGATGGATTAGAGCTCTCTGCATAAGGAGAGAGGGTAGTATGTCACACAACACAAAATGTTTAGGAAAAAAACAGTGACAGCAGTTCTGTGACACAACCTCAACTGGCTTTTTTCTGGTGTCCTTGAACTACCCACTGTGAACTGTGCAGCCTCTCTGCAGCCGCCTGTGCTCTGCTCTAGAACTACTCTGAAAACATCTCCCACACCCCTATGCAGAGAAAAATTTACAATTCTCACAGTGGCCTAATAGCTCCATGTAACCTCACTAACCCAGCCCACTGCCATCCCATTTCTACCTGTGATGGGCTGAAGTATCCTGCTCAGAACTCATATGCTGGAGTCCTGATACCAGTACCTCAGAAAGTGGGTACATTTGGAGGTAGAGTCTTCAAAGAGCTAATTAAGATTAAACAAAGTCATCAAGAGGGTCCTAACCTAACTGATGTCCACTTAAGAGGAGATTAGGACACACACACACACACACACACACACACACACACACACACAAACAAATGCACACATACAACCTCACACACACAGAGAAGGCAGTCACACACACACACACATGCACTCACGCATACACACACACACACACACACACACACACACACCTATAAGCCAATGATAAACAACTCAGAATAAACAAGCCTGGGAACATCTTAATCTCAGACTTTCAGCCTCCAGCGCTGTAAGAAAATTGATTTCTATCATTCAGACACCTGGTCTGTGGTATTCTGCTGTGACAATACCCTTGCCAACCTGCTCTCCCTCTAGTCACAGGTTCTGTCCCTCTGGTTGGTTTCTTTGATGCTCCACAAATAGCAGGCCTCCTCGGGCCCTGCACCAAGGGTTGTTCCCTCCAACTATGGCTCTCTCTTGCCACCTGCAGCCTGGTCTCTCTCACTGCCTCTCAGCTCACATATCACAGCCCCCATCCCACCATGGCCAGCCTTCCCTACACTCCTGTTTCTTCTTTCTTGACAGCACAGCTTTGTTTCTTTCTAAGAAAAAGAAATTTTGCTGTTCAATTCTGAGTTCCCTTCACTAAAAATGCTAAGCACACAGATGTGATCAGTGATTTATATTAAATAAATGAAAGAGCAATGTTCCAGCAGCATTTACCTTTTCAGGCACAAAATAACATCATATGCTGTGCTTGAATCTAATCCAGTCGTGGGCTCATCCAGGAACAAGATAGGAGGGTCAGTGATCAGCTCCACTGCAATACTGGTTCTTTTCCTCTCTCCTTTGGACAAAAACTAAAACACAAATCATTATTAGAATCTGTAGATATGACCAGGGTCCCTGTCATTTGGTGAACTAACCTGTAACAGTCCTATAACAGACAATCTATCTCTTATTTCCTTATTATTCTGAACAGTAAGTAACCACACACTTAGAGAAGGTTTCCCTTTCACCAGATGAGTAGACTGAGACTCAGTTCAGAGCCGTTAAATGATAAGACCTGATATAAAGCCCATACTTGTCACAGTTGTGGATGTGCCTTATAAAGCTGAGCATTTCATTTTAAGGTAGGAAATTAGAACCCTGAAGAGGCATAGTACTGACACAGTGAAATCACACTCAAAACAGAGCAGAAAGACAGGAGAAAAAAGAGGAAAGAATCTATAGAAAATTATTAGCCTTCTAACAATACATCTCCCTAGTATTCTGGCCAAAAATCTCCAAGTAAAATTACAAGGGAATGAACTGGGAGCCAGGAAAGCTCACCTTCTACCATATGAGCACCTTTTCAATTTCCATACGGCTTTCCAGACTGATTCTGCCTATAATCTGTCTCAGTGCACAATTCTGATTTACCCTTTCAGACAAATCCAGAAAATGGGATGTTGCACAGGCAAACTGGCTGAATTTTGCCACCAGGCAGGGTCACTGTGTGTGGTGAGGGAGGTAGCAAGGTTTGCAAGAGGCAGGAAGTGAGAAATAATTCTGTGACAGAGAGCCTTCTGAGAGACAATAATTAAATGTTACTCATTGGTGCTATTAACAACTGAACTATAACAGACACTTCATGACAGTTCAGGAAATGTAAATCAAAACAGGATTGACACACCTGGTGAGATGAAGATATATAGTGTCCGTTTTGATAACTGGTAGTAGTGCTATTTAGGCAATTTCCTTATTTTTTATAGATATGTAATAAGTATTCAAGCATAAAATGTTATAAAAATTCTATAAAATATTTCAGAAACAAATAGTTGTAATAATCATTGGAGAAGATTTTAACAGCTGAGATAATCTAAGTAAACAGTATGCAAATATACAATCTAATTGTATCATAGTGATCAGACTATGTTCTTTACGTCTCTTTTGTTTAAAATGCAATTAAAAATTAAAATTATTTTGATTGGCTAGATTATATGAATTCTAAAAGCTCAACAATGGCCTTTGTTTTCCACAGAAATACAAACAAGTAGTTTAGGGCAACGACTGCTTAAATGTGAAGAAGAGAGTAAAAGAAAGTATCTCACTCAGAAAATCAGGTAAACAGAACCAAAGCAAAGATCACAAGCACTTATAAAAGAAAAAACAAGTGCTAAATAGAGACACCTCAAAGTTTTTTTTCCAAACAAAATATACTTTATACAACAGACTGTCAACAAGTAAAGATATTAGCTGCAGCTCTTATAGAATTCCCATTCTTCGTTGTTCTAAGGACAGCTAAATCACTGCAATCTAACTAATATATTTGCCTCCAACCTCCACATGTCAAAGCTTCCACCCTGACTGGTCAAGTCTAAATTTCAATGATTTCTCTCATTTTTCTCCTTAATCTTCACAACTCACAACAGAAAACATTACTTTGTCTGCTCTTTGGTACCCCTGCACACAATGGTATATCAAAATTCTAAAAAAAGGCAAACAAGAGTCTGGAAATGAATACTAGCAGAAGCAAGATAAAAGAGGAGAGAGGTATGAGACAAACATCAAAAGAAAACATATGGAAAAATAGTGTGAGTAAAAACTACAAGTAAATAATAATATGACGGAATATAATTTTGGAAGCCACATTAGAGCAAAGTGAAATAGAGCAGGAATTCTTGCCTTCTCATCAGTCAATTTCAAAAATATGCCTCAGAAACACATTGGAACAAGGGGCGGGGAGGAAGAGAGGGGAACTGAAATGAGGAAGAGAGAAACAGGGGAAAAAAGTTAGTACACAGCTATTAAAGAGCCTGGAAAGATTTTATTCCCTAGCTATGATTCCCTCAGTTTTATTCACAATACCTTGGAATCTGCCACTCCATTCAGATCTAGCTCAGCAATTAGATCGTTAATCTTCGCATTTTTTTGATCATTCTTCATAGTTGTTGGAAGCCGAAGAGCTGCTGAGAACTGTAAATGTTGTCTCACAGTCAGCGTGACCATCACAACATCATCCTTCAGACAACACGGTATTTTAATGAGACATCTTGAGTATTTTCTAAGACCATCAGTCTAGTATGTGTATTTTAATCCTCACAAATTACATACTAAAGGCAATTTCTAGCTAATCGTGATCTTTCAATTCTACCAACTGCAGTTAACTACATACACAGACATTTCCATCCCCCACTGCACACCCAAGGACAGCACAGGTTGTACAATTACTAATAGCAGACCGCTGCATACAGGGATTGCCCATGGATACCTCTCTAAGCTAAGGAAAGGAGAAAGGTGAAAGGAGAGCAGAAAAGGACAACAGTAGTGGGTTTTAGAAATGATGCAACAGTTGGAATTGATGCCTCTGCCGTAGGAGGCTCTTATTCCAGATCCTCTCTGCCTCTTCCTTTAACACTACCCTCAAATAGTGGAATATTATGAAAAGTTGGTGTAAAGAAATTTGTTTCTACAAGCACATCATGTAATTCACTGGAAGCACACTAATGCGTAACTCAAGACATTGGCTCATGTAGAAACAGAGAGACCCATGTATGCTTACTTGTACCACATAACCTGAATTACACTTGAAATCAGCGGGTGGCAGTTCTCCATTTATCAAAACATCTCCAGATAATCCACGCGAATCCTTTCTTCCAGCTAACACATCTAACAACCTATAAAAATACATATATTTTATGGGATTTTTTCCCCTCCAACACAAGCTGAAACTCTCAGCTACTCTCAAACCAAATTTTGTTCCAATCATAAACTAGTTGAGTCCAAATTCTACTCAACTTATAAGCTAGTAAAAGATTCTATAGTTCAACTAGATTCGATAATATGTATGTATATACACACACGCACACACATATGAAAAATATTCCCTTACAGGGAATGTTAGAGAAGGGGGAAAGAGACTAGGGAGTAAGAAAGGATAATAGTAAAGGTGATAAAAGCAAAGTGAGTTATCTGCATGTATGAAAATGTCATAATAAAGCTCATATTTTTCAGTTAATATGTGCTAGTAATTAGAATTTGATAAAGAAAGATTACATCACTTAGTAACACTGCAGTTATCTTTGTGTAAGTGCATTTTTTGATCTTTGCATAATAACAAAATTCCCTAAGGACATATTTTTCAAAACATTTCTCCATTCTTTACAATACAAGATTATGCTTTATTATAAGTATTAAAGCATAATTTTTAAATTCTCACTTTTCTTTTCATTATGTGCCATAAGAATTCTCAAAAATATAAACCAAAGGCAACATTGGCTTAGTCAGCACAGATCTCTGAAATGACCCTTCAAGTTATCTACTTTGCTGGGTCAAACTGAAGAAATGTTGTCCTTTGTATAACTGATGTCCTCAACTTTACCTTCTGCTCCACTTGCCTCCTTCAATTTTACCGCCTTATTTTTCTTCCTTATTAGCTCCTAATAATGTCAACAGCTGCATATCAATCATATCAATCTGGCATAGCAGATAAATGTAATTTTTAAATATCACACTTAAATTGCACTCAGAAGGTTTGCTTATAGTTTTTGTTATACTCACACAGATTTGCCTGCACCTGTAGGCCCCATAATGGCATTCAAGCCAGGTCTCATAATCCCACTGTAAATACAAAAAGATACTAATTTATTGTTTGACTTTAACCAGTTCTATTAATTTAGGGTCTGCATGGAATAAACTCAGTGAATAAGTACCAACACTTTAAAAAATATTGATTAAATAATTCTATATATGAAAGATGCTCATCCCAAGACAAGACTTATATGGCAAGAATATGGCACAGATCCTGTGAATTCTGTTCACTTATGCTCTAAGTCACTTATCCTCTTGGAAAATGACATATCCAGGTTCCTGGGACTATAGCTCAGAATACAGCTCAGTGTTAGAGCCAGTGTTTAGAATACAACAGACTGTGTTTAACCCCAGTAACAACAACAAAGAAATGTTTCTTTAAGTAAGTAACAGATTTGCATTTACACTTACTCCTCATGACACAATGTAAACTACAAAACAGTTTGTGAGTACTGTTTGTTGATCAATATCTTCACATGTCCAGTTGTTATCTACTCAAGTTCTGCATGAGGAATTAATCACTGATTCACAGACTATCAGTGGTAGTGGGCTCATTATTAAATTCTAATCAGAACAAAAAAATTAGAAATCTAAAGGCTAGAAGGAAACACATTAGAGGATTTGAAAGCATCAACATATGTTAACACTCAAGGAAAATGTCTTGCCAGCTGGAAAAACAGGAATTTTAAATCTATACTTCAGTTAGATGATTTCCTTCCTTGTTAAGTAGTTGATAAGTGAGCTAGAAAATACGACTTACCAAAATGGTACTCATCACTTCAGCAAAGGACGTCCTTTAAGGATAAACAAGCAGAGAATAGACACAAGTATTTTTCAAATGAGCTAAATGGATGTATGAGAGTAGGGAGTGTTTAGGTAGAGTAGAGAGGTGAAAAAATTCAGCAGAGCCATTGTAGCTGGACAGCCATGGTGAAATGGAGGCCTGATTTAGCCTGGTAAAAACCCTGCTGACTATGTCTAAAAACCCAGGAATCACATAACAATTCCTGCCAGAGTCAATCCTATGATTATGTAATTATCGTGAATGATAAATTTCATGTATATTTAACTTCAGGTTTATGAAACTTCACGCTTACTTAAATTTCATATTCATCCTACGATTGTACCATTATCATGAATGACAAGAGAGGACCTCAGTATTAACTACCTGTTTTTCCCTGAACTGTCACAATTATACAACAGCTAGTGAGAAGAAGGCAAAATCTACCTTTTGCTTAGCTCATTACCAGAAGCATCCCTCACTGAAACATTGGGCAGAGAGAGTGAGAAGTCAGTAAACCTAAAGCAAGCTGTAAGAGAAACTCTTTCTTTTACAACCTCCTCTCACAGTGCAAAACCATACTGATGATTGCTAAACTTTCAAGGTACATTTATTGATAGCTCTTGATGTATCTTATCTATAGCTACCTAATAACTTATTCTAAAATGACTAGAAATAATTTTGTTATTCATTAAGGCTTCACTGCTAGAAAACATTTCCAGGTTTTTTATTTTGTTTTCTTTTTTGTTAGCTTGTTTCTTGCAGTCCTGGGGATTGGTAGCTAGGATTATAAGCATGCATCACCACATCAGACTAAAGTGGATATTTTAAATAAGTAAACCAGAGTGGGGAGGCAGAGGCAAGCGCTTGCCCTATACTCCAGCAACCATCTGATGACACTGCCCACCAGTAACAAGCTCAGGTTGGGAGGCAGAGACAGGTCCCGCCCCTCCACTCCAAAGACACTGCCCACAGGTAACCAGCTCAGTGGGGGGGGGGGAGGTGCGGGAGGCAGCAGCCATCCAAAGACACTGCCCACAGGTAACCAGCTCAGTGGCAGGGCAGGGGCCAGCCCTGCTCCCTCATGTACTTCAGCAGCCAGCAGAAGACACTGCCTACCAGTGATCAGCCTGGGTTGGGAGATAGAGATAGAACCTGCCCCCTCATGCACTCTAGCAACCACCGAAAACACTGCCTGCAGGTAACAGCTTGGTGGGGAGGCATCAGCTGGCCATGCTCCCTCATGTACTCCAGCAGCCATCAGAAGACACTGCCTGCCAGTAACTAGCCTGGATTAGGAGGTAGAAGTAGAACCTGCCCCCTCATGCACTCTAAGAGCCACTGGAAGACACTGCCTGCAGGTAACCAGCTTAGTGAGGAGGCAGCAGCTGTCCCTACCCCTGCATGCACTCCAGCAGCCCTCAGATGCCTGAGCTCCAGGTAGCCAGCACAGGTGGGAAAAACAGCAGCTGGCCCTGCACCAGCATGCTCAATGGCTGGTGAGTACTTGGATACCTGTAGCCAGCACTGACCAGGAAAACCCAGGAGAACCAGTCATGCTCCAGAGAAATGGTAGCCAATGCGGAAAGTGTGTGGGATCCCACTGCCTGCTTGTTTGGAAGAACCCAAGCAAATATCAAGAAAAAAAAGCAAAAGGCAGTTATTGGTCTCCAACCCAACAAGAGCAAGTCCAGGAGATGAAAACATGGAAGAGATCAGGAATCATACACTTAAGGTTTCTGAAGTAATGGCAACTGAAGTAAAGGAACAACTTCATGAGGCTATAAAAGAAACTAGAACAGAAATACTATCTCAGGTAAAAAAAGACATGAAAACCAGAGAATTGCTAGGCATCTCTAAAGAAGACAAATAAAAAGAGAAGCATAGGAAAATAAAGGAAACTGTGAATGAATAATATAAGAGAGATTTAGAATGCATGAAATAAAGTCAAAGAGATATCCAGAAAATTAAAAAACTCCCTTGAAAGCTGGCAAAACCACTTGAAAGAAACTGAAGACAGACTTTCCGACCTTAAAGACCAGCATGCAGCTTGTGATCCTGAAAGGAAAGATCTCTTAAACACAACAAGGAATCAGGAAATAACAATTCAATGACTGCAAGATGATACAAGGAAAAATAACTTAAGAATAATAGGTGTAAGTGAAAAACAAGGGTCAAAACAAATGAAATAAAAAGTCTATACAGAAATAATGGCAGAAAACTTCCCAAACATGGGAAAAGGACATGATATACGATAAGTGAGGCATACAGAACTCCAGCTAGCCATAATCAAAATAAATCTACGAATAATCAAAATTCCAGAAATTCAACACAAGAACAGAGTAATAATAACTGTCAGGGAGAAGAAACAGATCACCTCTAAAGGAAAACCAGTGAGAATCATGACAGACCTCTGAACACAAACTATCAAATCAAGAAAAGCTTGGCATGAACTATTTCAAGTCCTGAAAGAAAACAACTTCCAACCCAGACTGATGTACTCTGAAAAACTGTCTTTCAAAATTAATGGAGAAGCAAGATACTTCCATGACAAAGAACAAACCAACTTACAGAGAATACTGAAGGACATTCTAGAAAGAGATTAAAAAAAAAAAAAGACCACAGTTCCAGGAACAGCAGCAGAGCTGCTCACCATGCAGAGCAAACAACTGAATGGGGGAGAAAAGTAGGCAGCTAACAGCAGGAAAATAACATGGCAGAGAGGAGCCAGTGCATGTTAGCCGTAACCATTAATGTAGATGGCCTCAACTCACCAACAGAAAGAAGCACAGACAGAGTGGATCAGGAGACAAAATCCATCAATATGCTTTATTCAAGAAACACATTTAACCCCAAAGGAAATTCACAGACTAAAGGTCAAAGGAGAGAAAACAATGCTCTATGTGACAGGGAATCAGAAAAAAAAAAGTAGGGGTAGGTTGCCCATCAACTGCAGAATGGGTAAAAAAGATATAGTATTTCTATACAACGGAAAGCTACTCAGCTATAAAGAAAGATAACCTCAAGGCTCACGTAGGTAAATGGATACAACTTGAGAACATGCTCATGGGTGAAATGGTTCAGAGTCACACAGGTGAACATGGTGTTTTCTCCCTAGTACAAAAATCTAAAGTTAGTAGAATCCAAAATGCACAATAGATGTTTGAAGGTGAAAGGGGAGGAGATGTCTAGAGGGGGAAGGCAGTAGCCATTGTTAATCTATATTCTGTTTTGAAACCTTGTATTGTTTTCGTTGTTGTGTTTAGCTTGTTTTATTCTGTCTTGTTTTGTTTGATTTTATCATATTTGTTGGCATGGACAGCTACTTCAAAAATAACAAAAATGTATTGTAGTAGCCATTATTGATTCCCAATTATCTTGTTTTGAAGCCCTGTACTGCGCTTTACTTGTTTCCTTTTGAATGATTTTATTCTATTTTGTTTTGTTTGATTTTATTATGTTTGATGGTATAAGAAGCTACTTTGAAGACAAGAAGATGCATTATGGTAGCCACTGTTGTATTCCTTTTGTCTTGTTTTGAAGTCCTGTATTGCCTTCATTGTTTTGGTGCTGAGTGGTTTTTTTTTCTGCTCTGTTTTGTTTGATTTTATTGTGCCTAATGGTATAGGAAGTTATTTTAAAGATAGCAAGAGGCATCACAAGGCCAATGTTGGTTTCCTTTTACCTTGTTTTGAAGTGTTGTATCACACTCATTGTCTTGTGATTGTCTCTATTCTGTTTTATTTCTTTCGGTTTTATTCTCTTCAAAATAAAAATTTAAATAAATAAAGTCAACCAAACAATGTTACATGATTCATCCAGAAACTGGACATGAATGTGCTAAAACAAAGAATTATACAGGTTCCTGGGTTTTGCATGCTTTGACATTACAAAAATTATTTGCTTGCCTGAAATTACAAAAAGTAACAATAATGTATAACGGCAGGATCTCCCCACCTGTCTCCTGCCCTCTATCATCCTTCATAAGTCATGCTTGCCCTTGGCCATTGGTCAACACAATTTGTCTACAGTAATTCTCATTTGTTCTACTATAAAACATTCCTGAAAAGGTTACTACCTCCCTATCCTTCCCTCTCCTATAACACGCAGCACACTGACTACTGAATACATGAAATGAAAGTCATCCCAAAGATTCCTATCACCTCTCTTGCAGTTTAATGAATACTAATCAGTCCTTTGACTTGGTACGCTTTATGAACAAGAGATTAATGGAGCATGTCCCTCCTACCTACATTCACACATACACACAGCATCTTGCTTTCTTAAACACCATGTTCCTCACTCCCCAATTTAGGGTTGGCAGCTTACATTATTTCTTTTAATCCTTTTATCACACCAGAGTAATGTAGTGATGGTGCTGCGGTTTTCTCAATCCTTTGCTGAAAACAGAGAACATAGCTCGATCACTGGCTATTTTGCACAACACCAGGGACCTAATAATCATTCAAAATGTGTTCAACAGGCCAGGCCTCGTGGCTCATGCCTATAAGCTCAGCACTCTGGGAAGTTGAGGCAGGAGGGTCACAAGTTCCCGCCAAGCCTGGGCAACACAGCAAGAACTCCTGTCATAATAAAAATGAAATAATGGCTGGGGATATAGATCAGTGTGACAGCCTTGGGTTCAATCCCCAGTATCACAAACGATATTTGTGGTTGAATAAATAAATATCTTTAAATCATACTATGAGATCTCTTTCTACCAAAATACAGTAACAATTCAATGCAAGTACAGCCATTTTTAAAACAATTTGTAAATTCCTTTCAATGTTAAACCTGCATTTAACAAGTGATCATTCAGTTCTTGTTTAGCCAAAAGAAGTAAAATCATGTGCCTATGCAAAGATTTGTAAGCAAATGTTCATAGCAGCTTACTGTTAATAGGCTAAACCTGTGAAATTTAGAGTAGGCCAATTTTTAAAAGTCTTTTTAAAAAGTTAGGCACTTACCTGATATTTGATAGTATTTCTTTCTCAATTGTTTTCCGACAAGGTAGAGAGCCATGCTTCACTTTTACCCTATAGGAAATGTTATGGAAACTTAACACAAGGCTTTTAGTACATGTCTGTGGGTTGCTGGCACTCGTCCCGGGGAGAAGACTGTTACTTTCTGACACTGGGACATAAATCTGGACATCACTGGAAGACATCCTGGAATTTGCTGCTTTTCTGTAAAAGGAAAAGCAACAGTAAGTCAATAGTACAGGTGAGTAAGACTATAAACCTTACATGACATCAAATTTAAACTAATTTTTTAAAACATTGATATTTTGGTAAATTTCCTGGAAAATCATCACTGCGATCAAACCAACCCTAGAACTAATAACAGGAGACAAATACAACCTTGAATACCTGCTCTCCAATGAGCTGTCACATCAATTCCCAGTAAATATAGAGTTAAGAGAAAAAAAATTACTCAAAACTCAGCACGTAGGAAAAACATAGATGCTGGATAGACATGTGTGGCTTGAAAAGCACATTATGATACAATTTAAGTGAAGGGAAAGACAACATTATCATCATCACATCCCACGTATTTTTGCTTTAAACTTTTGAGTTTATATTATTTATCTCAAGAAGCTTAGCCAGGCAATGAAGGCAAAGCAAAACATTTCTCTGAATTAAACCTTCAGACAGATTTTACAACCCTGATCATTATGTGTGTTCAGTCAGCTGAGAATGTAAACTCAACAATTATTTGCAAGGACATAATCATTTCCTTAATGGAAAAACATATTTAAATTTTAGGAATATTTAAAATTGACTATGAAAACAATTAAATAAATCTAACCAACAGTCAAGTTCTTTAAGACTTTAAAGCAAAAATTGTGTATTTCTTAGTGTGGTAGCACACACTGGCAATTCCAGCACTCAGGAGGCTGAGGCAGGGCAACACCAAGACTTCAAAGCAGGCCTGGGCTATAGAGTGAGACCCTGACATATACAAAAAAAGTAAATAAATAAGTAGATAAACATAAAATTAAAACCTAAATATTATGTTTATAAATGAAGTCTAAAATGTTCTAGTAAACAAGTTATTAAAAAATCCCTTTAAATGAATTTAATTAGAACAAGGCCGTAAGGCAAACAAAGAATGAAAGAATAGGTTACAAAATGTGAAAATAAATCTATTTTTGTTTTTAAAAGTTAAAGTCATTCATGAAGAACAGCCTGTGATGGGCTAGCTGCTTAAATACATCATCCTCCTATAAACAACCATAAAAGCAGACAAAACATAAAAAGCAATTTTGTAGAGGTTTCACATGCTGGAGAAGAGGGGGCACGCAGAGGCCTCCCTCTAGAAATTAGAATCCCATGTTTGTTAGCTTCCTGTCGATGTGGGAAAGTACCTGAGAAAGTCAACTGAAAGGAAGAAAACTCTACTATGGTGCATGATTTCAGGTTTCTGTGAATGGTCAGCTACACACTGCCTTGAGGCATTGGCCTGACAGAGACACAGTGACAGAAGGATGTGGTTAAGGAAAGCAGCTCGTCTCATATCATCCAGGAAGAAAGCAGGGAGAGAGGGAAGGACCAGAGGAAAGGAGAGGGCAGCAGAGGAGAGGAGAAAAGGAGAAAGGAGAGGAGAGGAAAAAAGAAGGACAGGAAGGAAGAGAAGGAGGGGAAGAGAAAAGGGGGACAAAGGGCCACCCTTCAAAGCCAGCTCCCCAGGGACCCAGTTTCTCTAAAAAGAACTCACCTCCCAGCAGTGCCACCAACTCCTCAACTAAGTCACTGGGGGACATTCCAGATCCAAACTACAAAATCCCACTCCTAGATCCCACAGGCTCATGTGTACCTCACAAAGCAAATACATTTTACTCTATCTACAACGGTCCCCACACTCTTAACAGTTCCAGCATTGCTCAGAGGTCCAAGTAAAATTCTCCTCTCAGACTGAAAGCTAACTTTCAGCCATGAGCCACTGTAAAGCTTGAAAACTACTTGCATATTTTTACCATACACTGGTAACACAGACACAAGGTGAACAATTCCAATCCAAGAGGAGAGAATAGTACAATGCCACAGAGGGTTCAGACTAAATAAGGACCAAAACACTTCAAGGAAAACATTAAGTTCTATAGTCCTATGTCTTGCATCTGGGACACAAGTTGGCTGATATAAACTACAAAGGGGTTGGGGATCATCCCCAGTACTATGTATGATCTTTTGGGCCACAGACCATATAACCACTCCCTTGAGTTAGCTCTGTTCACTTCAGACAGCTTTCCTACGAAGACGTTCCATGCTCTGGCATTGCTTTTTGGAGCCTCCACTGCAACTTTCATTTCACTCTCATAGCTTTATGCATTTCCCTCTCAGGAACTGACTGCAGGGGTTTCCAAGCCTTCCTTTGAAATCTGTGACAGCTTTTGCATTCTGCATGTTTGCAAAACCAGCACCATGTGGAGAATGCTGAGTACTGTCATCAGTGCAAACAGTAGCCAGGCTCACTTAGATCATGGCTGCAGTGGCCTCGGAGTGCCTGCATAGATGAGCATGGAGAAACAAATTCCAAGAAAATAATGTTGTGGCTGGCCTCATGCAAGAAGGGTACCCCAGGGCCCTCTTCCAAAGGAAATGTCTTTCAAATGAGTTTACACTTTTAGAATTTGAGCCCGCGATGGGTAGGGCACGGCTAATTCTTAAAATGCCTTGAGTTATGTTATTTTCCCAGTGCAAAGTTTTGGCTTCTTTTTTTCAGGTGCTAATCTCTTTTAAACAATACCTTCCTCAATCTCAAATTTATCAACTTTACCAAGCTCCCAGTTTTTCAAATCTTTATTCTCTGCTTTATGCTCACAGTTCTTTATAAAATAACCAAAAATACACGTGCCATAGCCTAAATATTGTTCTGCCATGAAATTCCCTCCAACAGATTAGTCTGTCACCTTTTAACTGAGAATCACACAATGTATCAGAGCAGTGATAAAATATAGACAATTTATTTACCAAAATGTAACAAAGTGGTACCTCAGTTGACAAAATTAATTTGTTCCACCATTTTGGAAAAGATGGTCGCTTTTGTGTTAGTGGTGGGAAAGCTGAAGTTGTGTTCATCACACGATGCAGACTTTGCAAACAAAAACAAAATTTTGCCAAATGGTTCTGTTAAACAAAAGCATTCAGTACTGCTATATCTCCAAACCTCTCTGAACTCCTGCAAACTAGTTCCAAAGGCTTCTGAATCACATTGCTAAACACTGTCATAGCAATGACCCTACTGTTAGAAACCAATTTTGTTTTTTATACCACTGAGCTAAACCCCCAGCCCTGAAACCAATTTCCTGTACCGGTTTTCCACCACTGTGACAAAATACCTGAGAAAATCAACTTACTAAAGAAAAAGTTTATTCTGGCTCACAGTTTCAGAAGTTTCAATCCATGGTCACCTGGCTCCGTTGCTTTCTGGCCTATGACAAGGCAGAAACACTGTGGTGGAATAGTGTAGTACAGGAGAGCTGCTCACCTCATGACAGGCAGGAAGGAATAAAAAGAGCAAAGAATATGAGAGGAGAAAGGCAAGGGAGAGAAGAGAAGAGAAGAGGAGAGAAGGTCCACTTTTTTGAGTTTTTTATGTATTAGTACTCCTCTATCAGAGGAGTAGGTAACAAAATTATTTTTCCCAACCTGTAGGCTGTCTCTTCAGTTTGGTATTTCCTTTGCTGTGCAGAAATTTTTATTTTAATGTAAGCCTGTTTGTTAATTCTTGGTATTATTTATTTTGCTCTAGAAAGTTCTATTCAGGATAGCAGATATCTCTCTTTTCAAGTGTTTTTCCTATTATACCTTCTAGTAGATTCACTGTTGTCAACAGTAAAACTTACTAAGTGAAGTTTTCAGAATTTTGATAACGTAGTCATGTGAGCTCCACCTTCAGGATATAGTGCATTTGAATCATGCCAAAGAAAATCTTCTCCCTGTAACTGTACAGTGGAGAAACTTTAGATAACTATTATGTACTATTTATCTCCAAAAAAGAAGAAAGACTTCTGATGTTCTCATCACAAAGAAACACGGTTTGAGGAGACAGACAACTTGATTTAAATATTACACAATATACATACAATCAAACAACATATGGAATCTCATTGTTATGTGTAATCTTATGCTTACTTGTTTTTATATATTTTATATATTAAGATCAATTTTATGTGAATTTTTAAAATTAGCATAAATACACATATATGGAGAATCTTATGTTTAAATATACATCTTTATGTAATTTAAATCAATTTCACTAGAATTTTAAAAATTAATATAAATGCACACATGTACATAATCTTATATTTATATATATTTATATAGAGTTAAAATCAATATTAAAAATTAAAAAGTCAGTGTGGTGACACAATTTGTAATCCTAGCTGCTAGGATTACAGAAGGATCAGAATTCTAAGCCCAGCCTGAGCACTTAGCAGGGCTTTACATCAAAAGAAAAATTTTTAAATGTTTAGGATACAGTGCAGTCGTATAGCACTTGTTAGCTTACCTAGCTTGCTAGCAAGTCTCTGTGATTAATATTAAGTCAAAAAAGTTTCAAATCTACAAATAAAATACTTCATTAAAATAAGAAAAAAGAAAAGAAACTTCCCCCTCCACTATGATAACCAGAAATTTCTTCTGTCCTTTCAAATTTTCAACTTAATAAAAATTCTCTCTTTAATAGATACAAATAGAGCCTCTCCAAGATTGAGAGTCCAGATGCTAGAATATAGCAATTTGGGGAAGGGAAGGAGGGAGGTGGATCCCGAAAAGCCAGGGAAGCAAAGTTCTGAAGATTGCATTGAATTCCATTCCCAGCTCATGGCACCACATTGGAGGCCTGAGCAGACAGCAGTGTGGTGACAGCAGAGGACCATGGAGGCCTCCAGAAAGAAACTCACCAGTGGAGAAGAGCACTGGAAGTGGAAGGCTGCAGCAGCTGCTGAGTGACGCCATTCCAAATGACCTCAGGAGCGAGTGACTGACTGGATGGCATTTTGGGATGGTGCTAGATGAACCCAAGCCTCTGAGCACTTGGAGCAGTAATAGACTGGAGTCATCTCAAGTTTACCAGTTCTGGGTGAGGCTCATCCCTGAGACACCCCCCGGTCAGGAAGCCATGATGAAGCCAGCAAGAAACATCCATTGTGTTGTGGGCTAATGAACTCAGATCACAGGCCCAAAGCCAGAGACCAAGAGCAGCATGAGCTTCTGCAGAGTTGAATCAGCACCCTCCCCTAATCCTACTACAGGCTTGCTGGGATCATACAGTATGGCTCTTGACTCTGACTGCCTCCTTTGTCCAACAATGACAGCAAAGACATGCTCTGAAATACATACTACCAGAAGATAACCAGAGGATTGAAATCACAAAGAAGTATCTCCTGTTTGTTAGTCTGTTTGGAGTTTTTATCATATATTCTTATTTTTTATAAGTGTGAACATTGTTTCTACTTTTTTGGTCTTGTTTAGTTCTTATTTTGTTTCTTCCTTCTTATTTCCCTCCTATCTTCTTTGCAGTCTCCAAAAGCTTAGGTAATCTTCCTTTGTCCTTCAACCTTATTTCTAATCACTTTCTCTTATTTCCCTATTCTTTTCCTCCTATCCCTTTTAATTTTCTCGCCAAGGGTAAAAATCACTCAATTGAGGGGATATTTAATGTATATAAATTCTAGTTTGGTTTAGATTTTGTGACATGAGTATAAATTTTGTTCACGTGGTTAAAGGTGGAAAATAAATAGTTACCACAGTTTATTATTTTCTAGGATATATTAGATCCAGTTGTCATTACTGGTTTTAATCAAGGTGACATAGTTGTTCCAATCAGTTGTTCTCCCTTGGATGCCAATAACAAGACTGTCTGAAGGTCATAAACATAACTATAGTCCAGTACCAAAGAACAAAGGAGTAGGCCAAAGAGGCAGCAAATTCTCATTCCTAATAAGCTGAAAAGTCAGATCTTGTGACAGACTCAAAAGTCAAAATCCAGCAACACCTAGAAGATACCTCTGAAAAGTAATCACTTCCTAAGGAATCCTCCATGTCGTTGTAAAGCTAGCTACCATAAATGATTCGTAAGAAATGCAGAAAATAAATTTTCTTAAAACATAGAAAATGAGATGCAACCCCAGACCTCCAGCTTACCTGAGACAAACCCAGGGGGCAATGAAGTATAACAAATCTAAACTCACCCACCTGAACTTTATGAAATGGTAAGAGTGGAAGTAACAAAGCAGATAAAAGAGGCTCTAGAAAAAATTAGAAATAATTTCTTTAATAACTAAAAAGATGATGAGCATTGTTAAGAACATGGTGAGTGAAAGTAGAATAGAATCAATACAGATTTTTTAAAATAGAGATGCTTAAGAAAATTGGAGATTTAGGCCTGCGTGCGTCCTCAATTTTGGAGACTGTATGGCCTGGGGTAGTGTCCCCACACATACCGAGTGGGGCAGTTTGGGATCATTGCTCCCACCAGCCAAGGAACTTTACAGCTTCCTGCCCCACAGAGGTTGGGCCTGCCTGCCCCAACCCTAGTGACACTCTCTCATTCCGGGGAACTAGGCGGCCAGAGTCCCAGGAGCTGAAGGCATAGAAAAGGATTTCCAACAGGCCCAGGGGAAGCCTTGGAATAACACCTGAAACATGGAATATAGGAAAATGACAAAATGAAAGAACAAAATACAATCTCAAACTTCCAGCCCATCCAAAGAAATCTTAGGAGGTATGTACCTAGAATAAAATATATGCCATAAACCTGAACTACCTAAAATAATAGCAACTGAAATAAAGAAGCAATTATGAGAAGCTTTAAAGGAAATCAAACTAGAAATAGTCATCCAGGTAAAGAAGAAATGATAAAAGTAATGAAAAACATGCTGGACATATCTAAAGAAAACACAGTTAAAAAACTGGAGGAACTAAACAAAAAGATAGAATCTCTGGATGAACAATATAAGAAACAGAGAATACATAAAGCAGATGCAAAGAGATATACAGGAAATCGAAAATTCCATTGAAAGCTGTAAAAACCACCTCAATGAAAGCAAAGATAGAATTTCAGACCTAAAAGACAAGATTGCAGCTAGTGAACAGGAAAGGAAAGAACTTTTAAAAATAACAAGTAATCAAGAAATAAAAATTCAATAGCTATAAGATGATGCAAAGAAAAACAACATGAGATTGATAGAAATAAATGAAAAAGAAGGGAACAACATAAAGGATATCAAGAGGATATTTAGAAAAGTAATAGATGAAAATTTTCCAAACATAATAGAAACTGACATCAGGATCAGTGAAGCATACAGAACTTCAAATAACCATAACTAAAATAAAACTACACCCAGAAATATAATAATCACCAACCCAGGAATCCACACAAGAATAGAATATTAAAAACTATCAGAGAGAAAAGACAGATCACCTATAAAGGAAAACCTATCAGAATCACAGCACACTTCTCAGCAAAAACAATAAAGTCAAAAAGAACATGGAGTGAAGTATTTCAGACACTAAAGGAAAATGATTTCCAACGTAGACTGATGTACCCTGCAAAACTGTTCTTCAAAATGTTGGAGAAATAAGATACTTCCATGACAAACAACAGCTGTAGAACTTCATGATCACCAAGCCAACCCTACAAAGAATACTGAAAGACAGTTTAGATACACTTAGGAAAAAACCACTAAGCAAAGCAGACAATTAAACAGAATGGAAAGATAAAGATGCAACAGCAGAAAGATAACATGTCAACAATAAACCAATATATAACATTATAACCTTTAATGTAAATGGTCTCAATGCACCAATTAAAAGAAACAGACTGACAGAATGGAACAAGAAACAAAATCCAACCATATGCTGTCTACAAGAACCCATCTAACCCAAAAGGATACTCACAGACTGAAAGTCAAAGGATGGAAAACAATACTTCATACAACAGTAACTGAAAAAAGAGCGGGGCAGCTATTCTGCTTGCAATGTGAATTTCAAACTAAGAATGATGAGAAGAGATAAAGAAAGTCATTACATACTGGTTAGGAGAAAACTTCAAACCAAGAGATAACAATCTTAAATATATATGCATCAAATTCCAGAGCACCCAGTTATGTAAAGAAAGTATTAATAGAAATGAAAAACCAAATTAGTAATAACACAATTATAACAGGAGACCTTAACACACCATTGATACCATTGGACAGATCAACCAGACAGAAATCAGCAAAGAAATAACAGAACTAAATCACACCTGTGAACAAATGGACTTGATAGACATATACAGAGTGTTCCGTCCAACATCATCAGAATACACATTCTTCTCAGCAGTACATGGGGCATTTTCTAAAACAGACCATATACTAGCCCACAGAATATATTTAAATAAATGCAAAAGAATTGAAATTATCACATGCATGTTATCAGATCATAGCACCGTGAAGTTAGAAATTAATGATAAAACATACGGCAAAAATCCCACAAACACATGGAAACTGAATAACACACTCTTGAGTAATCAGTAGGTCACAGGGGAAATTAAAGAAGAAATTAAGCAATACCTACAAGCCAACGAAAATAAAAATACAACTTACCGGAATCTGTGGGATGCAATGAAGGCTGTCCACAGAGGAAAATTTATTGCACTGAGTTCCCACATCAGGAAAACAGAACACATACAAATAAGTAACCTGATGCTACACCTCAAACATGTAGAAAAAGAAGAGTAGGTCTAGCCCAAAGCCAAAAGCAGGGAGGAAATTATAAAAACCAGAGCGGAAATTAATGCAATAGAGACTAAGAAAACAATACAAAGATTCAATGAATCAAAGAGTAGGTTCTTTGAAAAAATAAATAAAATAAAAATCCCCTAGCCAACCTTATTAAGAAAAGGAAAGAAAAAGCTCAAATTCATGCAATAAGGAATGAAAAAGGCAAAATCACTCAC